AAAGGGACCATAATTTTGACAATTTTCCATGTGCCTCCAGGGGCTTCTCTGGTGCAGTAGTCGGGGCTGTGCGCGGAGAGTTTACCGCTTCCACCTCAGAAAGTGCTCTGGACAATGCAGGGCTTAGGGTTTAGGGTTTCAATTTTATTTTCCATTATCCTTATATACACCTTTTAAGGGATCTAAGCTTTTCCAATTCATTTTGCATTTTTTCATTTTCTTTACCGTTTGATTCTCCATTATTCGGGTGCTCCATATTAAAGCCCCTATAAGATCCAAGTGTGTACCCTAAGGTGCTCAGTAGCTTCATTTTCTTTTCCATTATGCCTGTATAACCTATACACCCTGCCAAACCCCCAAACTTCATAGTTTGCTTCATCCTAATCCGTCTCCGTATTAAACCCTACACCCGAAATCCTAAACACTAAACCCTATGTCTTCGTGAAGATATTTGGTAGTGTCCCAAAAGAAGGGGAGCCCAATGTAACCCCAATATACTATAATCCTGAGTATGCGGACCCCCCAAAAAGGTACGATCTAGTTCTAAGAATCCCCTAAACCCAGTTTTCTTCATGATGCTATTTCGCCTGCGCCGGTGCGCCGGAGCAGCGGTCCACGGATGCACCGCGAGCTGATGAGGTGTCGACGCTGCCCTCGGCAATGGAAAGAGATGCGGAAAGCCATCCCAGTGAACCCCTAAACCCCGAAACCCTACATAATCTCAGCTTCCATTTCATCTTCCAGTTTCTTTTCCATTTGATGCTCCACTATATTATATAGTAGTTTCCATGTTGCTTTCCATTCCTAAACCCCTTCACCCTATTGGCAGGTGCGGGCCTGGTCTTGGACCTGGTCCTGCACCTGATCCTGTTGGTCCTGGATCGCCTCTGGTGGCTCCTGGACGGGGTCCGGCTGTGCAGCAGGCCTCAGACAGCGTCAGTGCTATTTACCCTTTGTTTCCATTTCATTTTCCATTTGATTCATTTGATTCTCCATTATTGCTATTTACACCCCAGTTTCCATATCATTTTCCATTATTGGGATAATCATTCTCTGGACATGGCATTCTGCCCTCTGTCACAGTGGCCAGGGTCCCGTGCCAGGCAGCTGCAGCTGCTGCCTCAGCAGCCGCAGCAGCTGCTGCGGATGCGGGTGGCGGCTCCTGGGATTGCAACAATGAATCCTGCAAGATGATGGGGTCTTCCACGCAATGTTCCACAAACCTTCAGACCGGTGCTAAGAAAGCGGCACTGACCGAGCTACCAGTGCTTGATGGATAGCCACCAAAATGGGCCAATGACACAGTTGGACCTGAGCACAGGCGACCTAAACTGAACGGGGGCCAAGGTGCCTCTTTCCCAAGCGCTGGGTCACATGCTTGTTGTGGCAACACTTCCCTGGACGTCTGCCATGGCGTGGCCAAACCTTGCTCGCTCCAGAGCGCCCATTCTGATGCAAGCTAAGCGCGGCAATTGCTCCACATGCTCCATGCTCAACAGCTTGATTTTCTGGCCTGCAATCCTGCTGTGCTAGAAGTCGGTCGAGCAGCCTGACGTGTGGTTTTCATATGCATATCCTTGGCCTGTTGTTGTGGCAAAAGGTAGTTTCCCAAAATAGGGAGACCTAATATAGACCCCAATATACTATAATCCTTATTAGGGTCCCACCAAAAATCTAATCACTCATCTTGGGAAACCCCAAACCCTATATAACCCCATATATCCCCTATATATCCCCTATCACTACTTTTGGGAACCCCCCCAAAAAGGTCCCGGCACTGGCTGTGTGCGAAGTAACAAGCTGTGACATCTCAAAGACATCTGTCCGGCCTGGGCTCTGCACACCTCTCTTTCATTTTATAACTATTAGGGGGTTTCCCAAAATTGGGGGTACCATTTTGGGGGTCCCAATAATAATAACTGTAGTATTTTAAGGTCTATATTGGGGTACCCTCATTTTGGGAAACTACCGTTACTACTATTATTATTAGTACGAACATCACTATTATTTCTGCTACTAATATTGTGGGTATTACTAATATTACTTGATGCTAATGTTCTTGCCATTATCTTCGTGCATGTTCTTATTCTCAGTACTATTATTCTCATAATACCATTTATCTATTATTACTTGAACAAATTCAAAAGGCACTCAGGGAAAGACGTGCATCTGCTCGTTTCCTGCATTGCTGGCAAGCAAGAGCAGTCATCACATGACCGCGCAACGGCCTCTGCTCCCTGAACTCTGCTTTTGGTAACTGCACCTTGCCTGCGCCATGCATCCAGCCGCTCCGGGTTGTCCTGGCAGCATGCATGGAAACATTACCCAGGAGCGCAGCGGCCATTCCAAGGTGTTATGAGTCTTTAAAAGTTTTTTTTGATGGGTAATAGTTTTGCCTGAACCTCTGCATTCAGCGCTCAATTTTCCCTCACGTGCAATGCAAAGCTTCTCCTGTGTGGTGACATTGGGCTGCTGGAATGCATGGCCAATCCCGGCCTCGCGGGACACGCTGCTGACACTTGCTTTTACTGGGTTGCTGCTTAGCAACTTAAACTAAGTTGCCACATTATGGGTATATAGTAAGTAATAAGGTTTCCTTATCAGAGTAATTTAATCTAAGTTCCTTTAACCCCTATATTACCACCAATTTCCATTTCATGTTCCATAGTTTTCCATTTGATTCTCCATTATTAATAGGAGGTTTGATTTCTTAAACCCTAAGCCCTGAACCCTAAACCCCTAACCCAGACCCTAAACCCTAACAGCAACCCAGTTTACTGGTGTGGTGACCTCTCAAAAGAAGACTGGTGCTATGGGCCTTGGGCTTGCTTGCTGAGCAGCGCCACCAGGCCTTAGACCCGGAAAAGCTTCCAGGCTTAGCCCCTCTAGTATAGTTTAATATAGTACACAATCGTATATAGAAGTATGTCATCGTATATAATAGTATAATATAATAGTATGCAATAGTATCTAATAAGAAACACTAGTATATAATCTGGTACATAATACATCGCAGATCTAGCTCGAGGCAAAGAAAGCACCTACAACACTTGTGAGGGCCAGGCGATGTGCCACAGCCCATCGCCATGCCACTGGAAGGGGAAGCCTCAAGCTACGGCAACAAGGGCGGCAGATTTAAGCGAAAGGACATGTGATGACTCCTTGCAGCTTCCCACTTTTGGATCCTCGCTCCAGGATGTGATTGAGGTTAGAGGTCTCGGGTCAAATCATGACATCCGGGCTAGCTCTGCCACAGGATCGCCAGGCACGCTGCAGGCCTGCACAAAGTCCAAACGCGGGTAAAACTCGCGCAAGTAGGAATTGCCGTGGCGCAGAAGCTCCTGCTCATCGACAGCATCAGCGTACCCTGTGAACACTTTGTCGAGCACTGGCAGATCTTTGTCGACGACATGACCGATTGGCGTTTCCCATGGGTTTCGCCCAATTCGTCCTGTCAGATCGCTAAGAGCAATGGAGACCTGGGTGCTTCGAGAGTCATGTCTGTCTGCAGCAAGGATCACCGTGCCCTTTGGGAAGGATTCTGTCTTGCGGTCATCATCTGGGATGGTCGGTGACCACTTCTCGTTCATCTCAGCGCTGTCGCTGATGCCAAACTCTGCCATGAAGCCCCGCACTGCTTTGAAGATGGCCTGATCAGAAAAGAAGCCATCACGGACCAAATCGAGAAACCTTCGTGCTCCTTGGGGAGATTGGTCTGGATCTAGCTGAATTGTCAGTGTGCCCTGGGTTGTCTCACATACGACCTTTGGGAGCTGCGGCTTTGGCTCCCTCCGGACCATCCCTGTGTCACTGAGCAACATGGCAACTACCTTGGACTCATCCAAGCGATGTGGCTTCACGGCAGTGAGCTCGTATGCCGTGGTCAGCCGAGACGTAAAGGCAAATATGGAGAGACTGTGCAGAAGGCCATGTGCCAGAATGCTTCGCATTCGGAATCCTGTGCCACCTTCAACAGATATCGCCTGCTCTTTGCTTGGGCCAGCAGCCCTGGTGCATGCAGAAGCCACCTTTGTCATACAAAGCTCCAACTGCAGGAGATACCAGCAATTACTTGGCTCTTCTGATCGCTTCGAAAGTCCTATTTACTGACTATGCGCAGCAATCAATCTTGTCTACATTTGACACCGAGCGAGTGGCAACAGGCGGTGTTGCCAGCTGTGGTGGATGGTCCATACCACCTCAAGCACTGGAAGCCGTAAAGTCCACGCAGCTCTGCCAAATAGGTAAGATTCAATAAGGGAAGTCTTCTGACATACCTCCAGAATATTTAGCTCCCGACCATACCACCGGAAATCCTTTATTTGAAAAGTCCTGACATGGGCTGTGGAATTCCTAGGGCTTCTGCTGAGAGGGCCGAAGTGGATGAGGATGTCCGCTGTGGATGCGGGCCTTGCTGGCCAGCATTTGGTCTAGGCCCTCTGCGATTTGCGCATAGCTACATCTATGCACGTATACACACGTCACACGATTTTTGTTCGTTCTGGGTAGTCCGAAGAGAAGTTTACAGGCATGGTTTAAGAAACTGTGAGGGGTGTTGGTTCATGCGGAAGTTACTCTTTTTACATAGCTTTCCATAGCTGGGAGGCTACGGGAGCCAGGCCCCCCACCCGACATTGCCACTGACCACCTCCTCAAAAAGCTTGGCCATGGCGCTTCTTGCTTAACCGCTGGCGTTCTGTCAGCCTAGATGAATGACTCCTTCTTCTGCGGCGGTCCATCCTAAACCCTAAACCCTCAATTGTAGTTTCCACGTTGTTTTCCACTATCCCAAATTAAACCCCTGATGTGTATTCCTGAAGCCTATACGTCAACATTGTGAAGTCTTGGTGCCCGAAGTCTTCGGGCTGCTAGGCAATCCTTTGGCACTTCTGGCTTGGTGCTCCATCAGCTGGCAGATTCAGCGCATTATGGTACCCAATATTACCCCAATAATGGAGAATCAAATGGAAAAGAAAATGGAAAATAAAATGGAAACTGGGATTGTATAGGGGTCATTTATGAAACATGTAGCAGAAGTATCGATGCTTCCATTTCTATTTTCGTACTATCATTACAGCTATTGTCATTGTCACTATTGCATGTCATCAGGCAACCAGCAATGTGCGAACTTGTCACTCGCGAGTCCAAGTTGATGTATACGACGCAAGCGTGTTTTGAAGCGCGTGCCACGGTATCCTTAAAGTGAGCATATTGAGAACAAGCCTCCACTGACTCTGTACAGTCGTAGTTTTGACGCTGATATCTAAGAGGTTATGATGAATGTCAGATATGCTTGTGCTTGGCCAGATTGAAAGTTACGAGCCTGTGATGCGTAGCATGGCACACTGCCAATAAAGTCTAGACTGGTTTCAGTCTCGTCACATTAGAGGACTTCTGCCACAAGGCAGTGCAAGCATCCGCCTTGTCAGAACAGGATGATGGTATTGAAGTAACGATGCAATAAACATCAGCAGATGTTGCGGCCGGAAAGCTTGCAAATAGAGGAACCCCGAAGCAAATGAATACACAAGCTAAAAACCATTCAAGAATCTACCATGTTGCCACCTATCAGCTCATTTGCTTCAGAGATGGATTCTCTCACGTCTGCTTCTCCTAAAGAGGCAGCCTTCATGCACAGGATGGCCCAGCGAGCCATGTCCTTAGCCAAGCATGGATCTGCAGAGATTTGCCGGTGTTTCAGTGAGATGCAGCTTCGGATTGATCATACCACTGGCACAGCGACTGCTGGAAGAGCTTATCACGCTCTTCCACTCCTGCATCTCCTGCACTTGCCACGTCATAGCACAAGGATGAGGTTCCTACAGAAGCCATGTACCAAATGCTCGACCCACGTACCTTTGCCTCTCCAATCTAGAAGCATGACCCGCCCAAATCTACAGACCGACTGCCAAGCAAACCCCCCAAAGCTGCCCAAATCCAAACTAACACACTCATCAACCTAACCCGTCGACATTAAACCCTTCTCCCTTCCCAACTTCTTCCAGGCTTGGGCTTCCATAAGCCCCAAACCCAAGGCTACCCGTCTCATCGCCGCCCCTGCCGCCCCCGTAAAGGCCCAGAGTTGTCGCCCGTCTCCTCGGAAAGCCCAAGACTAATGGTTCACTACAGCTACTTGTACGGGGTAAACTAAACCTTTCAGTTCTCCACTCCTCGGCGCCGCCGCATGAGTAATGATTTTCATTACATCAGGTGGCTACTACCACTTTTGTGCAAATCGTCAACTTTGGCGACATAACTGGAATCTACTCTGCGGTCCACAGCGGCGCGCTTTCACACCGAGTTTTTAGACTCCTGTTGCAGGAAATTGGACTGCCACCTCTCCACCCTCCATCCTACCCAGCTTTTACCACGTTGAGAAGTGAGAGGCAAGAAGCAAAAGTAGTGCCCTCCC